AGCATTTCTATAAGTGATCTTGTAATGCAGAGCTTATAAATAGCACAGATGTCACCAGCAAGAGATATTTCTGTATGGAATCTAATAATAGAGAATATTTTAAATGAATCCTCCACATTTATGACTGCATTTTAACCTCAAGCTGACCTCAATATTGGAGGATTTCAATAGCAAGTGATTTTTTTTTTCATCCTAAACTATGTATCTGTCCATCAAAATGGCATTTCCAGAAGCATTAAACATTTGGTATAAGCTTTGAACTGATCAATTAAAAACTGTTCTTCTGTACATGTTATTGCAGAAGGAAAAGGCAAAAATCATATTCTATACGTTCTATTTTTAATTGACTCTGAATTGCATACTAATGTAGATTTCAAAACACTTATTTTCCCCAAAGAAAAAAGGTAAATGGAAAATAATAATGTATTTCTGTAAAATCCTTAGACCTTTACTTTTAGTCTTAATGAGGGAACTGCATTTGTGGTACATGACAGAACTCCTCATTGGATTTATCACCATGAAAAGTTTTATTTAAAAAAAATCTCAAAAGAATTCCAAGAAATTGATCCTAGCATGAACAATTAATGGTGTGAGGTCCTAAAAGTATCAAGAAACATCACAGTGTATTTCGGTTAAGGTGGCATATCTCCAAACCCAACAACACAACAGGAAAAATCCAGGGCTTCAAACTAGTTCTGGTTTAAACCCTTGCTGAGAATTTGCATTTCTAACAAGTTCCCTGCTGAGAATTTGCATTTCCACCTCAGATATACTGAATCATAATCTACATTTTAACAAGGTCCCCAGGTGATTCTTATGTGTAACTTCCTGGGAACCTGTTGCTGTTAGGTGCCATTGAGTCGTTTCCAACTCATAGGACTCTATGTACAACAGAATGAAACACTGCCCTGTCCTGCACCATCCTCACTATTGTTGTCATGTTGGAGTCCATTGTTGCAGCCACTGTGTCAACCCATCTTATTGACGGTCTTCCTCTTTTTTGCTAACCCTCCACTCTACCAAGCATGATGTCCTTCTCCAGAGACTGGTCCCTCTCGACAACATGTCCAAAGTATGTGAGATGAAGTCTCACCATCCTCACTCCTAAGGAGCATTCTGGCTGTAGTTCTTCCAAGACAGATTTGTTCATTCTTCTGTCAGTCCATGGTATAGTCAATATTCTTCACCAACACTATTATTCCAAGGCATCTATTCTTCTATGGTCTTCCTTACTCATTGCCCAGCTTTCACATGCATATGAGGTGATTGAAAACACCATGGCTTGAGTCAGTTGTGCCTTAGTCCTTAAAGTGACATATTTGCTTTTTAACACTTTAAAGAGATCTTTTGCAGCAGATTTACCCAATGCAATATGTCATTTGATTTCTTCACTGCTGCTTCCATGGGTGTTGATTGTGGATCCAAGCAAAATGTAATCCTTGACAACTTCAATCTTTTCTCCCTTTGTCATGATGTTGCTTATTGGTCCAGTTGTTAGGATTTTTGTTTTCTTTATGTTGAGGTGTAATCCATCAATAAATACTTTAAGTCCTCTTCACTTTCAGCAAGCAAGGTTGTGTCATCTGCATAACACAGGTTGTTAATGAGTCTTCCTCCAATCCTGATGCTGCGTTCTTCTTCATATAGACCAGCTTCTCGGATTATTTGCTCAGCATACAGATTGAATAGGTATGGTGAAAGGATACAACCCTGATGCACATCTTTCCTGACTTTAAACCACACAGTATCCCCTTGTTCAGGAATTCCCATTCTTTATCATGTTATCCATAATTTGTTATGATCCACACAGTTGAATGCCTTTGCATAGTCAATAAAACATAGGTAAACTTCTTTCTGGTAGTCTCTGCTTTTAGCCAAGATCCATCTGACATCAGCAATGGTATCCCTTGTTCCACATCCTCTTCTGAATCAGGCTTGAATTTCTGGCAGTTCCCTGTCAATGTGCTGCTGCAACCGCTTTTGAATGATCTTCAGCAACATTTTACTTGTGTATAATATTAATGATATTGTTCAATAATTTCCGCATTCTGTTGGATTACTTTTCTTTGGAACGGGTAGAAATATGGATCTCTTCTGTTCGGTTGGAGCCCTGGTGGCACAGAGGTTAAGCATTTGGCTGCTAACCAAAAGTTTGGCAGTTCGAATCCACGATCCGCTCCTTGGAAACCCTATGGGGCAGTTCTGCTCTGTCCTATAGGGTTTCTATGAGTTGGAATCGACTCAATGGCAATGGGTTTTGATTCCAGTTGGTTGGCCAGGTAGCTGTCTTCCAAATGTCTTGGCGTAGATGAGTGAGCCGTTTCAGTGCTGCATCCGTTTGTCGAAACACTTCAGTTGGTATGCCACCAATTCCTGTAGGCTTGTTTTTTGCCAATGCCTTCAGTGCTGCTTAGACTTCTTCCTTCAGTACCATCCATTCTTGATCATTAGCTACCTCCTACAATGTTTGAAGGTCAAACAATTCTTTTCGGTACAGTGACTCTGTGTATTCCTTCCATCTGCTTTTGATGCTTCCTGCATTGTTTAGTATTTTCTCCATAGAATCCTTCAATATTGCAACTCAATGCTTGAATTTTTTCTTCAGTTCTTTCAGCTTGAGAAAATGCCAAGCATTTTCTTTCCTTTTGGTTTTCTATCTCCAGGTCTTTGCACATGTCATTGCAATACTTTACTTTGTCTTCTTGAACCGCCCTTTGAAGTCTTCTGTTCAGCTTTTTTATTTCATCATTTCTTCCACTCACTTTAGCTACTCTACTTTCAAAAGCAAGTTTCAGAGGCTCTTCTGACATCCATTTTGGTCTTTTCTTTCTTTCCTGTCTTTTTATTGACCTCTTGCTTTCTTTGCTTGTGATGTCCTTGTTGTCATTCCACAACTCATCTTGTCTTCAGTCATTAGTGTTCAATGTGTCAAATCTATTCTTAAGATGGTCTCTAAATTGAGACCATCTTGAGGTGGGGTATACTCAAGGTCGTACTTTTGTTCTTGTGGACTTGTTCTAATTTTCTTCAACTTCTACATGAACTTGTATATGAGCAATTTATGGTCCATTCCACAGTTCTGATTGATGATATTGAGCTTTTCCATTACCTCTTTCCACAGCTGTAGTTGATTTAATTCCATTGAGTGAGGTCCACATGTATATTCACCACTTACGTTATTGAAAAAAGGTATTTGCAATGAAAAAGTTGTTGATCTTGCAAAATTCTGTCAAGCGATCTTGTTAGAAATGTAAAAAATGTAGTGAAACCCATGTGAAATTGTCTGCTACTGTTTAGTATGTTAACACAATTAAGCCCTTGTGTACCTTGCTTACTGTAAGCCTGTGCATACCTTGCTTTCTGGTTAATCTGCCCCTAGATAGATGTCTTGTTGGGCCAGTCAGATCCCCTTCAAGAATAAAGAGCTTATTCTCTCAGTTGCAGACTAGACAGTCCTCATCCATTGCCAGCTTCTAAGAAAGCATCAGTGGAAGAGAGTTGCCTCACCCAAGACCACACTCCTTTCTCAGAGCAGCTGGTGTCAAATGACTTATCAGTGGAAGATTTTAATAGCCAGGTTCTCCTACCCCATCTAGCACAGCTAGGAAGTGTCCTGTCATATTCAGACCTCCGTAGGATCATCTGAAGCTTCCACTGAGAATGTGTTGCAGCTCAACTTCTTCGTTTACCCAGTCCTGTTTCCTTAACCTTTTCCTTTCACAGGTGTTTGTTCCAGATCCCTCTGTAATACATGTCTGCTCCCTAATCTCCATCTCAGAATCTGTCTTCTGGGAAACCCAATCTGCACATGTACCAGACAACCAGTCTAAACAATTTGCATGCACTATTGTATTCTGTGAGGTAGATATTATTATTATCCTCATTTTACAGAGGAGAAATCTGAAGCACTAAGAGTGCTTCATTACTACTCATCATTACCTCTAATTCCTTGTTACTTGAATTCCTTGTCAAAAGTCACATAAATTGTGAGTGACAGAGCCAGGATTTAAGCCCCAACTAGTCCCAGAGTTCATACTCTTAAGCAACTACCCTCACTACACAGAGCACACCATTTAGAAAAACTCATTTACTAGGCAACATGAAGTAGAATTAATGATGCAAATAACAGAACATTAAAATTCCAAGTCTACTTCGGTTATCTAAACACCAATTCAAGAAATAGCAAATATCATGGCAAGTATAAACCTATTTGCATATCACTTCAAATTGAAGAAATACTTTCAATATATTTTTCCAAAAGTTTCAAGTATGTTCATGGTTCACAAGATGTCCATTTGTACGAATACAACAACCTAGTCTATCATCAATGACAGATAAAATACTATCTAAAATATTAACACCTTTCTGTGGAGACTTGCCACTGAATTGAGACGGCAAGAAAAGGTAGGATTATTTTGTTTTTCTTTAGATAATGTAGTTTTAAGCCCTACCACCCTCAAAGCAATGTTCTCAGTATCTCTTCCTTGAATTTTCTCCTGAAAAGTAAAATTTTTCTTCTTCTGGGGATACCTGGGTCAGCAACATTTTCTCATAGTAACTGTCCACAGAAGGGGGAATGATGCTCTTGCCAAGGATATGTTTCTAAAGATACTCTTCAAACACTTCTTCCTTCTTGTTACGTCTTGGATAATGTAGCTCTCTAGTAGGTAGTCCCCAAACGCCACTCTTCCAAACTGATTCCTGGAAAGTAGCTATAATTCTAGTGATTCAGTTAAACATCTTCTATAAACATAATTTCTCTGATTCTCTTCTTTCATAACTAGTTACTCTTCAGAGGAACAAATGTACATGTGTATATAAATTATGAAAAGGACAGATACGGAATAAAGCAGAGTGGGTGAGATATTTGTGTTGGACAGAGAGAAGCTTAAAGAGAATTAGTTAGATTTGCTCCCTGCCTCATTTTGCCATATAATCCAAACCCAAATGGACTTCTTCAAAGAGTCTGTGATTTTTAAATGTAGTAAGTAGCCTCATACCTTCATCTTTACAGACTTCAAGTGCTTCTTCTGAAGCAGGGCTGGGCACAGTGGCAGTGTTGACACCATCTATAAAGCAGAGAGAAGAAACACTGCCTTAGAGCTAATACTGTCAAGCTGGGGCTTCCTTGCTTCTCTGCCCACCAGGTTGCCCTCCCCATGCCACCAAAGTCAGTGTAAGCCTCATTTCATGCTGTAATACACTGAATGGTCTTTGAAGTGGTTAGCAGGAACAGAAACCTTCAGTTAAGGCAGAGCCCAATGCACTACAAACTATTTTTTGATGCAAAATACTATTTGTTGACACTATACTTTGGCATTTTGCTTCTGCCACAGCTCTCAAAGAACTGTACATTATTTTTCTTGGTATTAGATTGGGAAAGAAAGCATATCCTTGCAAGTTGCTACAAAATGCTTTTATGTGTGTGTTTTTAAAGTTTGGTTTTCTTAGCAGAACGATTCTGTTCCCTGATGCCAGGCTGTCAAACTGCAGGGAGCATGTCAGAAGGCTGTCAGTGTGGAGGCACAGGAGAAGGGACCAATCGGAGGAAGGCACCAGAAGAAAATTGGAGATGTCATGTCACCCAAGCACAGGATGGGGACTAAGGAACTTGGAGGTCCCTCTCCCCCTTACAGAGCCAGTTAACCTCATATGCACTGATCTTTCCTATCAGTAACATCAGCACCCCATTAACTCCACCCACGTTTGGTCTCCAGGATAACTGACAATTAACTTCCTAACTAACATTAAGACAATACATTTAAGACATGAAGGTTTATTAAAATTACCATTTTAATACCTGACTATTGGAAAAGGAATATATATTTTCATGCAGTAGCAGGGTCATGGGACTAAGGATAACTTATATATGAATGACAACTAACACACATTTAGAGGCAAATAACATTTTCCAGCAAATATTTTGTCTGTAATGTGTATGACTTACTTTTAGGTCATGTGTCTATTGGAACAGAGAATATATATATATATTTTTTAATGAAGGGAGAATAGGAGATGACGAATTACTTTCTTTTGTTAGGTGACAATCTGCTCTTAAAAAAAAAACTAACAAACTATAAAACTTCCCTTGATGTCACAACATCTTCCCATTTCTCTAGTTCCCCTTCACAGAAAACCTCTTTAAAAGAGTAGTCTATTTATTGTTCTACAATTCTTTGCTTCACAATCTCTCTATAACCCACTCCAACTGGCTTCTCCTCCAATATGCCTCTAAAAATTATCTTATCAAACACACCAATGACCTCCTTGTGTCAAATCCAATGGTCACTTCTCTGTTCTTATCCCGCAGCATTTGACAGAATCATCCCCTTTGTTTTGAAACACTTTCTTATCTGGCTGTTCCTTCTCTCCTATTGCTCTATAGCTAGATGTCATGGTGTTTCAGGACTCTTTCTGCCCAGGCCTCATTGTCTTCTCTCTTTACATATTGTCGTTAGATCTCATCCAGTTCTGTGCTTGGAAATATCACTTATATGCCAGTGACTCCCAAACCTGCATTTCTAGCCCACATCTCTCCCTGGAAATCCAGTCCTGTATATCTGACTGGCTTCTTGACCTCTCAAATGTCTGTCTAAGAGTCCTCTCAAATTTACCATGGCCAAAACTGAACTCTTAACTTCATCCACAGAAACTGTGCCCTGTGATCAGTCTTCCACATATCAGTAAATGGCACCATCACCCATATAGTAACTGAAGTTAATAACCCACGACTTATCCTGGATTCCTCTTTCCCCTATATGCCATATCCAATCTGTCAGCAAACCCTGTTGTCTATGTATCTAGAACATAACACATATCTGTCCATGTTGTTCCATTTCCAGAAACCACCATCAGTACTTTCCTTCAGTAACCTTCTAAATGGTCTCACTTTGGCTTTTTGATCCGTTTTCGAACACAGGTAAAGTGAACTCATTAAAACATAGATCATGCCACTCCATTACTTAAAACTTTCCATTGACTTCCCACTGTCTTATACAGCCAGATAAGATCTGTCCCACGCTCTCTGACCTCATCTCAAGTCATGCTCCCTCTAGCCTACCATGCTCCAGCCACACTGGCCTTCTTTCTACAAAATGCAAAACCCAAACTGACCTTGAGACACTTGCATTATCTGTTCCTTCCGCCTTCTAGAATGCTCTTCTACCCGCTCATCATTGAGATCTCATCTTAGCTAAGACTTCTTCAGGGAGCCTTCCCGGAATCCATTCAGTGGAAAAATGCCTTCTGGGTATTCTTTCTGCATCACCTTATTTCTCAGCAAGGCACTTACCACTGTCTGATATTTTTACGTGTGTATTGTTTTGATCCCCCCCCACCAGAACATAAGCTCCAAGGAAGCAGGTACACTGTCATTGTCGTTTGCTACTATAGTCCTAGTGCCCAGAACAGTGCCTGGGACACAGTAAGCCCTTGATAAGTATTTGTAAATAACTGTTTCAGAAATACTATTTACGACTTTGATTTTGTTTGGTCATGACCACAGTCGAAACTGCTGGATTGTACTGTTTTGAGATTGTGTCTTTTTCCTGATGTGGAAGAGGCTCACAGAGTTGTATAATCAAAATTAAAGCTGGAAATTATATTGAATGAAAATATATTTTTATTTTGGAAGAATAGCAGCAGGTCAAAAGGGCTTAAATGCCCAGACCAAGGCTTCGATTTCTCTGCACGTAGATTACGGACGCTATGAAATGAGCAGAGAAAACATGACAACGTATGTTGACACAGGCCAGGATGCTAGAAAAATCCTGCTCTGAACTCTACGCCAGCCCACGCACTCACATAGAACAAATGGAGCCACTCGGAACATTTAGAACTTGTTCTTTACATTGAAACCAGTTGTCATTGAGTTGACTCTGACTCATGGTGACTCCATGCGTGTCAGAGTAGAACTGTACTCCATACAGTTTTCAACGGCTGATTTTTTGGAGGTAGATTTCCAGGCCTTTCTTCTGAGGCACCTCTGGGTGAACTTGAACCTCCAGCCTTTCAGTTAGCAGTGGAGCACTTTAACCGTTTGCACCACCCCGCAACTCCTCTTTACCTTGAGAGGCATCCATATTGTAGAGACAAATCTACTAGGTTCAAGAGGCAGAGGAAATGGTTATTTCTTACTACTTTTGTTAACAGGCGAGATAATCCCAAATCCTAGAAAACTTTCCTGTTCTCAACCGACTAAAAAGGAAAGGATGAATAAATCAAACACAGGTAAGTGTGTGTGTGTAAACGTGAGTGGAAAAAGCTTTGTTGATAAAGAGTTTAGGACAAAGCAGGGAGTGAATAAAACCCGTTGAAACGCCACATTCAAAGAATGGCATCAGCTGTTAGCACCTAGTTGACTAATACTTTTCAGCCTCAAACAGTAAAAACAGTGACAGCTTTTCACATAAGACTCATCTTCTATCGAGCATAGAGAGGGGGGACAGGGTGAATAACAACCCTTTATTGTATAAAAATTCATTTTATTGCAAGGACTACATTTCAGCCAAGGGAACCAGCTGACCCAGTAACAAGTACACAAGGTCTTTGCTGCCTTGCTTAAGTGCTTTCTCTGATTGGCCTTCTTTGATTCCATCTTTCAGGTTAATAATAAAAGCTTCCGATTCCCTAGCAAAAGTTCTAAGGTTAATATAGGAAGTTTTCAGTGCAAAACTTAACACACTACCTGGTTGAATTCCAAGAGCTCAGCATATGGCCTAGGATATGCCTGGCACACACTTCGTGTTGTTGTTGTTAGGTGCTGTCGAGTTGGTTTTGACTCATGGTGAGCCTACATACAACAGAATGAAACACTGCCAGGTCCTGCACCACCCTCAGAGTCTTTGCTATGTTTGGTTCCCTTGTTGCCCAGTATTTCAAACAGGGCTTCGAATGGGTTCCTTCTGGTTCAAACCCCTGCTGAGAATTTGCATTTCTAACAAGTTCCCAGGTGATGCTAATGCTGCTGGTTAGGGACCAAATCTGAGAACCACTAGTTAGAGCAGTGGTTCTCAAAACTTACCAGACATAAGAATTACCAAGGGATCTTATTAAAATGTGGATTCTGATTCAGTATATCTGGGGGTGGAAATGCAAATTCTCAGCATGGGTTCAAACCAGAACAAATTAGTTCAAAACCCTGTTTCAAACATGCCCTCCACGGGCCTCATTAAAACTGGGAAGGTGACTTGGAAACTAAAGGGAAGAAGGATGTTTTTATGTTTGTGGTTATGTTGCAACTACATAGTTGTGCCTGTCATTCTTTCAAAAGACAGCATGAGTACAAAAATGGGCAGTGAAAGATGATAAATTGAGTAATGATAATCTCTTTTGAGCTGTAAGTGCTATTTTATTTAAAAATGTTTATAATCTACAATGTAGAATCTACAAGCATTCAATTGACATGTCAGAGGTGATGTCAGGACAGCTTTGGGTCTCATTTATAGCTCTGTATGGGGTAGGAGACTTCCTTGAAATATCTCCAACAACATGCAAAGAAATAACCAGAAGCACAGCTCTTCAAAATGAATGTAATGCAAGACAGTTAAGAGCGCTCCACTGATTGTGGTGCAAAGCCTCTTCTTCATTTCCTTTAAACATTTTTTGTTTCATTTACTCATGTATTTAAATATGCTAATTTTGGCCTGAGCTAAACCAGCCCAGCTCTGACTAGGCACTTCTGGCCTTCTCCCCTTCCCACTTAGAGCATTACCAAGCAAACTGTTATTATAAGGGAGAAAAATGGAATTGGTGAATGAGACATGCGACTCTGCATTCTGATTTGAAGCACTGTCATTCATCGTGAAAAATTTTGTGGTAACCTGAGTTAACCTGGTGAAAATGTATAAGCATTTTCAGACAATAGCAGTGAGTAAAGTCATTGTTCACCTCTGTGGATGAGGCCTAGGAGAATCCTCAAAAGAAATCTGACCGACAACATTCTTCAAAGAGATAGATAAACTAATCATTAACTTTATATGGAAAGGGAAGAAGCCCCGAATAAGTAAAGCACTACTGAAGAAGAAGAATAGAGTTGGAGGACTCACACTACCTGACTTCAGAAACTACTATACAGCTACAGTAGTCAAAACAGCCTGGTACTGGTACAACGACAGATACATTGACCAATGGAACAGAATTGAGAACCCAGAT